GCATTATTTAATACCTTAAGTTACCATTTTAATTGAATTTTGTTTGATTTTAATTTTGGTTTGTTTTTTATTAACGCAACCTATGTATACCTAAGCTTTGTAAAGGTTGACGTCATATTTATGTAAAAATGGTATATCCGTTAATTAAATAAATAAATAAATATACTTTGTGGTATATATAGTGTAGAAATATTGGAAAATATCGAACTTAGTATTGAAGTTCGGTTCGGTTCGTAATGCCCCTTTGTCCGCTTCTCGTCGATCGATGTTGATAGGGTTAATAAATGTTAAAGTTGTGGAGTAACAGTGATGATTTATTGACAGCAACTCGTAATTACACAATATGGTGTTCGTTCGGTAACTACTCAATATTGACTGTGTTCATTTGAACTCAAATCCCCAATTTATAATCTCACACATAATAGATACATAAGCACCTTAGGTCATTGCTTCGTTCATATCACACCACCTAACTTTTGCTTATAATACAATTTAATCTACGCCTTAATTGCGACACTTAGGAAGTTCAAGTAGAAAATATTATTATTCGGCAATTTATTTAGTTGTAGGTAAATGAACTAATTATTAAATTATCATACGATATGGTTTTGCAATATATATAATGCAAACTTATACACGGTGAAACTATAAAATATTAAGAAGTTAAGAATAATGTGAGATTACAAATTAAGGGGTTAATTTGTGATTGAACATATTGGCCACTATATAAAAAACAAACAGACGACCAATAGAAAATATTTAAACACATATAAGTAAAATAGTCGGTCAGATAGCTCAGCGGGCTGTGCGGCTGCCTCTCATTCGCTTCACTGTCGAATGGTTTAGTGGATGTGGGTCGAGCCCAAGCTCGGTGTACAGAAAACAAATAGTCTAACGCAGCAGTTTAAAATTCTAGATGAATCTGCGGCTTAGACTAGGATATGCTGGGTTCTGATCGGCCTATGGTGGAGCAGTACGGCAAGAGATAAGGGCTTGCGGCTCGGTGATACTCCTCCATAGATCCCTACCGGACGGGCGTAACGCCTAAAAACCGGATATATATATATATATATATATATATATATATATATATATATATATATATATATATATATATATATATAATATATATATATATATATATATATATAATATATATATATATATATATATAAGTAAAATATAAAATAATAATAACAATAATCATAACACTAATTCACTCGGTTTTTGAATTATTATCTCACCCGAGCAGTGCTACCTATAATTTGATTATTTAGAATTCATGTTTCAGCTAAACTATCTAAACTATTTAATTCAAATCTAAGCTCATTAAGTGAAATTGATCTAGGAGGGGCTTTCTTTAAAGTACTATAGTGATAGTATATAAAGTACTATAGTATATAAATAGTGATGAAGCATGTCTTCGAGGCGCTGGGTGAGGTTGGATGTAAGAACCTTGATGCCTTTGTTTTCTGGCTCTCTTGGAGTTTCGAAAATATCTGACTACCCTCCTTTATTTTCATATCTCACTTAAAAAAATTAGTGTAAGTTATTGTAATCTACTGCAAGTAGATTCCTTGGGACCAACAACGAGCGCACAACACCACCTTTTCTTTTTCTAGGTTTGTGTCTCTTTGAAATTTCTTCTCTAATTGCAGAAGTCTCACATATGCTTGCTGTAGTGAGTCCCCCTAATAGGCTTGTACTAAAATTGAAGGGTATTTTAACTTCAAATCTTCCTTCGTTATCCCTTTTTACTGTTCTTTTATAATATCCTTTACACTTTTTTTCTTCTACTGAAAGAGTATTGCTTTGATCTACTTCTTCTAACTTCCAGTATTGTTTTCTATCATCCATTTGTCGTCTAGATAGCATGCTGAGCACTTGTATATTAGGGATATTCTCTTGCTCTGCTATCCCTGACATTATCCAACCCAATTTTGTATTTTGGGCCAGCAAACCATTCTTTGTTCGATCTACTCCGTCCAGTAATATCAAACTATATTCTTTGGCTCCTAATAGAATATCTATTGAACCTGTTTCATTAAAATTTGGATCCGCCAGGACTAAGTTCCTATGGTTCCTTTCTTTTATTTGTATCTCTTTCTCCGGTAGATTTTTTGTTATTTTTCTTAGCACAATTGCTTCGGTCTTCATTTCAAATTCATTTTTGAAATGCGCCTCTAAGTTTAATGTTACGCTCCATTTCGACGTCCTTTGGTCTTCATTGCCAATTCCAGATATCTGAGCGTGGACAGCTTTTCTTTTTATTCCGAGACTTGTAGCGGCCTGCTCCGTAATGAATGATGACTGCGAGCCTTGGTCAATCAATGCTCTCATCAATTGTGAGCTTCCTTTTGAGTCTCTTACTCGTACTAATGCCGTTGCAAGTAGCACTTCTTCATTCTGATGACTTAAACAGCTCACGACATTCTCTTGTCTCCTTGACGATCCGTCGTAACTGTTGTCACCTCTGTTCCCACTAGAATTGGGTCTATTTTGTGGCCTTCTGTTTTCAGAATTCCTTCTGTTGTCATACTGGCACCCACTAGAATTTGGTCTATTCTGTGGCCTTCTGTTTTCAGAATTCCTTCTGTTATCATGCTGACCTTCTGACATGTGTAGTAATGAATGGTGCTGTCCACCACATTCTGCACATCTATGAGAGGAATAACATGGTACTTCCCTTTTGTGTAGTAGGCATCTACCGCACCATTGCTTTTCCTTTACGATTTTGTTTCTTTCACGTACTTGTTGACGTAGAAACGTTGTACATTTCAACAGTTTATGTTCTTCATGACACACCACACAGGTTATCTTCTTCTTTACCTGTTGTCTATGATCTGTTCCTTTCCTTTCTGTTTCCAACATCTCCAATGTCTGGAATCTTCTTTGTAGGAATTCCTGTGTTGACTTATATGTCGGAATGTCCCTACTGTCTTGAATTGACGTTTCATATAATCTCCTGGTTTCTGTGTCCCACTTTAACATACTTATCCTTGCTATAAGAGGGCTCCAGGACTCTGTCATTACACCTAGTCCACTAATGGCTTCTAAGCATTCGTGGAGAGTATCATGTAATGATTTCAGCGCCTTTGCTGACGTTTCTTTTATCTCCGCAGCCTGAAGTATCTTGTCTATTAATATAAATAGATTCATCCTTGGATTATCGTATCGATCTTGCAACATTTTCCAGGCAGCACTGTAGTTTGCTTCTGTTGTGTTTAAATGTTGTATTATTCTACTTGCTTCTCCTCGGAGGTTTGTCTTCAGATACTGCATTTTTTCCACATTTGATAGTTGATTATTCTCATGTATCAAACGTTTAAAAATATCATAGAATGTTACCCAGGATTCATACCTTCCTTCAAAACAGGGTAACTTCACTTGGGGTAATATTATTTTGTCTTTCTTGCATCCTTCCGCCTCTAATCTCTTATTTTCTTTTATGATCGACCGCACCCTTCTTTTCATTGTATAAAATCTTTCTATTTCACCTTCTTCTAGTGCATCCTGTTCATTGTCCACAGTTATTTCCATTATTAATGTATCTATTTTTTGTACCTCTTCTTTTAAATCCTCTTGTAAATCTTCATCGGTTTCGTCGTCTTCCAATAAATGATGAAGTTTCCCCATCCTAATTTCTATTTCTCTAATTTTTGTCGAAGACTTGTACGAACTTTTAATAAATTCCTCTAAAATCTTTTTCGTTTCTTCATATCTTTTTTGTACTTGTTCGTAAAAGTTAGATGTAAAATATTTATCAACTCTCGAACCTTTCTCTTCAATTTCTGTGTTTTGATCTTCAAAGTCGTTCCACAATTCATCAAGTGTCTGTCTTTTAATGTTTAAATATTCTCTCGTTCGTTTTTCTTTCCGTAGTTTTCGCAAATTATTTAAAAGCTTCGTAATTTCTTGACCTAGCTTTTCCTGATCTAAATATAATCGTTCCATTTTAAACGAATATACGTTTGACCTAATTTCAACTTTTAAACTAGTGTCAGCAAGATTACCTTAGACAATAACGCAAAATGACCTCTTGTCTAACCTTTGTGACACGGCTATATAGTACAATTAAAGAATGTAATATTATCACTTGTAACCAGAGAGAAAAGAAATTCTTTATATAAAAAATGCAAATACTACAAAATACTATATATTTGGAATGAATGAACTCTGAATGTGTATAAAAATAACGAATTGTCACGATAATTCACTATATTATGAAATTCAAATGTTTTAAGAATTTTAAATTATAAGAATCAAATTATCGAATATAATTAAAATTAAGATAATTAAGCTATTAGATTTGAATTAGCTGTAGACAAACTATTACTATTTTAAGTAAAAAAGTATGCAGAATAAAATATTTCAAATAAGTATTATTCAATTTGAATCTTAAGTTTCTTTAATAATCTTTTTAATGTATTAAATTAATGCACTGCTCTAAATGATAATAAATATTCAAAAACTTACAGTTTTATCCCGACGTTCACTTGTATGTTCCTGCTTCCTTCTTAGAACTGCAACTGGAACTGGTGAGCTGGATCTCTGGATGCTACTAGATTTTTCTGCTGGAAACTGGACCTCCAAACTGCTGGAATAGTAGACTTAAGGACTGCTATTAAGGTTCTCTGGTGATCAAAGGCTCTCGTAAGGCTCCTACCCCTTATTTCGGTGCTTTCTGGTCTTTTTTATTTCTTTTTTCTTTTCTCTACACTTCGAATTCGATCGTCGATCTTGTACGGAACTGGGAAACCGCTATTTAGGTCGCTAAGGGTCGTCTCCTTCGAAGCTCCAAACCAATTAACGCCCTTTTGATGATGTTTTGACGAAGGACCAATGGAAAATATCGAACTTAGTAGTGAAGTTCGGTTCGGTTCGTAATGCCCCTTTGTCCGCTTCTCGTCGATCGATGCTGATAGGGTTAATAAATGTTGAAGTTGTGGAGTAAAAGTGATGATTTATTGACAGCAACTCGTAATTACACAATATGGTGT